AATGCTGGTCCACTTTGATATGCTTAGTTTTGCCTTGCTGTACTGGATTATGGGCTATATTGATTGCAGCCTGATTATCACAGTACAACATTAGGGGTTTCTCATAAACAATACCCAATTCTTCTAGTAATGACCTCAACCATAGAATCTCAGCCACACCATTTTCCATGGACCTATATTCAACTTCAGCACTTGAACGAGAAATGACACTTTGTTTCTTACTCTTCCAGGAGACCAAATTACCTCTAACAAATGCACAATATCTAGAGGTAGATCTTTGGTCATCAACACACCCAGCCCAATCAACATCTGTGTAGACTTCTATCTTCATGTGGTCATTTTTCTTGAACAAAATGCCTTTGCCTGGGGACCTCTTCAAATATGCTAATATCCTTTCAACCGCAGAGAGGTGAGTAGTTCTAGGAGAGTGCATATACTGACTAACTACACTAGTTGCATAACTAATGTCAGGTCTTGTGAGGTAAAGATAGAGAAGCTTTCCAACTAACCGTTGAAACATAGCTTTATCTTCAATAGGCTCTCCACCTTCTGCACTAATCCTGTGGTTCTGTTCAATAGGTGTGTCCGCAGGCTTAACTCCCAACTTTCTTGTTTCTTCTAGCAGATCAAGAACATACTTTCGTTGAGAGACAAAAATCCCATGCTTGGATCTAGCTACCTCAATGCCCAAGAAGTATCGTAGTTCCCCCAGATCTTTTACCTCAAACTCTTGATGGAGTTGCTTAAGAGACTCAATTTCACTAGTATCACTCCCGGTTACTACAATATCGTCCACATACATGACAAGCAAGGTTATGGAGGAACCCACTCTCTTAATAAGCAAGGTGTGGTCTGACTGAGCCTGCACATATCCGAATCTATCAAGGGCTCGTCTGAATCTGTCAAACCATGCTCTAGGGGATTGTTTTAGTCCATATAGAGCTTTGTTCAACCGACAAACCTTTCCTGTCTCCATACCATAAAATCCTGGAGGCAACTGCATGTAAACTTCTTCCTACAAGTCTCCATTGAGAAAAGCATTTTTAACATCCATTTGATACAACGTCCAAGAGTAACTAGCTGCAAGAGATAATAGTACTTTGATAGTGGTCATCTTTGCTACTGGTGCAAAATTTTCTTAGTAGTCAATACCATATGTCTGAGTAAATCCTTTTGCAACTAATCGGGCCTTATACCTTTCAACAAAACCATCAACATTATGTTTCACAGTGAATACCCATCTACATCCAACCGGTTTCTTTCCTTTAGGTTGATCAACTATCTCCCAGGTATTGTTTCTGATGAGGGCATCCATTTCCTTTAGGTTTCTTTCCATTCTAGTACTTCCAATGCTTTCTGTATTGTTCTGGGAATGGGAATATCAGCAATGGATGCAAGAAAAGACTTGTAGGAGGGAGACAAATGATCATAGGATAGGAACTGAGAAATGCAGTGAGCTGTGGTGCAACGACGTTTGCCTTTACAGACTGCTATGGGGAGATCAAGGTCACTGAATGAAGGTGAAGGCTCCATGGTTGAATGTCTCTCATCTGTAGTATCTGGATCTGGATCTGCAGAAGGAACTGGGGCCACTTGGTACCGGGGTCTGGATCTGGATCTGGATTTGCAGAAGGAACTGGGGCTACTGTGGTACCGGGATCTGGACCTGTAGTGGGGACTGGGACTGGCCTGCACTGCTGATGTCCAAAATCGACCTGTCTCCATTGTCTGTGATAGACTCTCAACATCCTTGCACCTTTGACATCCTTCCCCGTTACATCCTTCTTCACTTAATGAGATTGGAAAAGGAACTTCCGATGAGCTACTCCCGGCTTCACTATTCTCCCTCTGAGGAGAAACCCTTGGATAATAGGGTTTATCCTCAAAGAAGGTGACATCCATTGAGACATCTTTTTCCAGAAGTCGGTTCATAACAGCAATATCCCTTTTGAGTTTGGGCATAACCAAGGAAAATATATTTGGAGGCCTTGGGATCAAATTTGGAACGATGAGGGCCTAGGATTTGAACGAAACAAGTGCAACCATAGGTTTTGAGGGGAATGGTAAATTATTCTTTATCAGGGTATAAAAGGGTAAATGGAGTTTTCATGTTAACAACCCGTGAGGGAATCCGATTGATGAGATAAACAACTGTAAGAACAACAACATCCCCTCAGAAACATATAGGCACATTTGAGGTAAACATAATGTCTCTAACTACCTCCAATATGTGTTTATTCTTTCTTTCAGCAACCCTATTCTGCTGTGGTGTATGTAGGTAGGTACTTTGATGGATAATCCCATGATTAAGCATGTAGGAGGCTAATGGGTTTGCAAAATATTCTTTTGCATTATCTGATCTAAAAATTTTAATTTTGACCCCAGATTGGGTTAAAATCATTTGATGAAAGATCCGGATTAATGCTGGAACCTCATCTCGAGAACGCATAAGGTAAACCCAAGAAAAGCGAGTTTAATCATCAACCAATAATAGGAAATATCTGTACCCTCCCCATGGCAGTGGTATGATAGGGTCCCTAAATATCAGTATGCACAATTTCAAAAGGAATATTGCTTATGTTATTACTTAATGAATAGGTAGTCTTACAATGTTTTGCAAGCTCACAATTTTCACATTTCAAACCAGTGATTTGGACATATTCAAATATACTAGGAAGCAAACTTTTCAAAGCCTGAAAGGATAAATGGCCCAATCTATTATGCCAAAGCATCACCTGATTAACAGACTGAGAAACAAAGGATTTCTTAGTTTCACTATCTTCCTGATGAGCACTTCCTCCAAATTGGTAGATTCCATTTGTCTCACGGCCAGTCCCAATCACCTTCATTGTTTACAGATCCTGAAAAACACATCGATCAGGAAAAAATGTTATTGAATAATTCTGCCCTTTTGTAATGCTACTAACTGAGAGCAAGTTAGTATTAAGCTTAGGAACATGCAGGACAGAGGATAGGGAAATTGTATAAGACAACTTGATGTCTCCTTTTCCAGAAATAGGAACAAGAGATCCATCAGCAATGGACACTTTGTCTTTACCAGAAGATAAATGATAGGTAGAGAATAGTGAAG